ACATAAAGTTACCTATATTTTACTATTTTCACTTCGCTTATTATGATAGATAAGAGAAACCCTGGCATTCATGATATCTGATCTCTAGCACCTGGCTATACTTTTTCTCTTGCTTTTGGCTATGGGGATTTTCCCCAATTTCTACCAAGTTTATGACTTTAGCTATGACCTGTATTTATATGTCTACCCAGTAAAGATGAATTGGTCACTGGCGCTTCGCGTTAAATACCGAGATTATGCAGATATCCAGCACCTTGACATTCACCATTTGACAATGATTGCATGCCGAGTTCTAATTTACATTAAACAACTCACCATCCAATTTTTTTAATTGAGTTTTACACCATATTTACAGTTACGAAGATTTTTAACAAAATAGGATAGGGAGAGAGGAGCTCTTTTCTTTGAAATTCACTATTTCTTGTTTCCATAGCAGCAGACTGCCTTAGACTTTGTGCCGAGGAAATTCCTTCTATGCACAAACTATATTTAACTGAAATTATATACCACAGGGCAACGAAAGAGATAAACTAGTGAGAATACAATAGATCTTTGAAATATTTGTCACAGTGGAGTGCCCACTGGCAGGAAAAACTTTAAAAATTTTGACATATACTTCATGAGTATGTTGGAAATTTCATGCATATGAATACCATTTAAATTTTAGTAATTCAAAAACTAAACAAAACAAATTACTTGCTTTGTTGTGTTTACAGAACAAAGCAAATAAAAATAATTGGAAAAGTGAAATGTAAAAATTAAACAATCAAATATATAAACGAAGTATTTTAGTTTATAACAAAGTTTTAAATTTTAAAAAATATAATTTATTTATAAATATATTCAGATTCTTCTGCTATCGGTTCCACCAGTTTCTTCGTCCTCTAGACGATTGCGCACGTTTGGTGATGATGTTTCAAATATTTGGCGTATGTGTGTGGCACGGTATAAAATATTAGGAACAGTTGTTAAAAATTGCATTCAAAGCTGCTATTTGAGCTAATTTACTCACTTACTTAGGCAATTTTACTCACCTATTTGATCTCTTGGGTAAGAGGTTTTGGGACTTAGGATGCCAGCATAGTAGCGCGGTGCAAATACTGAAAATTAAAAATAATACTATTCATTCCAAAAATGTTTTATTGGTCCACTCAAACCTTTAACCGAATCAGTTTGGTTTTTTTTTTAAAAAATAATGATCAAAAAGTGCACATTGTTAAAAAAAATGAATTAAAACATTGAAAATTTACATAAAACTCTTTTAAAAAAAGCGACTTCGGTGACGTTTACGGGCAGCGGGAGTACACAGTATCTGCACTAGATATTTCTGGACATACTTCATTCATAAAACAATATCGTTTAAAAAGACGAACTGTAGATAAGAACCATTAACCTCTTTCCTAATTATCGATCGAGTTCTTAGATACTGCTATCAGTTATTATCTATTCCAAATGATTCTTATTATATATATGCATATTTATATATATTATTTTCCAAGGTAAAAGATAATTTAAATTACAACTACAACTTTAGATGGAATCTTACACTAGATTTCGAAAAAATATATACGTACAACTACAACAAACAGTATTACATATTTTATATATGCTTTATTCTTTTTAAGAATAGCGATGCCTTAAAAGAGCATAAAATAAGTTTATAAATTTAAGAAATATATAGAAAGCATACATTTTTTACCACTTTTAATATAGAAATAAAATTTTACGCCAAATGCGTAAAATTTGGCAGGTATGCATAAATACTAAAATCTTACATTCTTAGTACTTACAATTAGAAAAACTGAATAATATTACCAACCAAAATCTTTTAACATGTTGAACGCCACGCTAATTTAACATGGCTTGCCCAACGCCTCCTATAGCTTAAAGCCTCCACACGGTTTTTTGTAGGTAGTCCGATCAGATCACTATGAAGGTAAACAAGTTTACGAATAAAGCATTTAATACAAGATCTAGAAAAAGTTCGATAGTGGTAGCAAATATATATCTAAAAATTTGCTTAATTTTTTAATATAATTGGTTTGTCTTATTTACTTGTCTACCACTACCGATTCAATTCTCAAATATATATGATAAACTTCTCTCAATTAACATTAGAAAAAACTAAATTGGAAGTTCAAACTAAATGCTAGTAAATCGCAACTTTTAATAATACAAAAGAATAGAAAGTCCTACTCTAATAAATACCAACTAGTTCTCCTCAACAACACTATACCCATTGCTGATAAAGCTATATATTTAGGCTTAACCATTAATAAAAAACTGACCTGGTCTGATCATGTAAATAACATTAAAAATAAAGTATATGCAGCAACCAACAAACTTCAAGCACTTTTTCATAACCGACACCATGGGTGAAAGCCCTTATATAGCAAGACGGAAAAGAGAAAAACCTGGTACGTAAAACATTTCATTCCAGCATTTTTTTCGAAAAAAATGAAATATCTGTAACTATCAAGATTTCTTTTATAATTCTGGCATATATATAAAACTGCTTCTTTTCCAAGATAAAGTAGATATTCTTAAAATATTTATAAAAAAGAATAAGTAAACTCCTCCCCAAAACTAACTATAACTGAAATGGTTTTACTACCAGCCTTTCCTCTTTTCCGTCTCGCTTTCACCCCTGACCGACACCTTAGTTTAAAACTGAAAAAACTCCTATATACTTCGATGATACGTTCTATCATGACGTTCGCCTCACCTGCCTGGTGTAACACCTCCGAAAAAGACCTCAAAAAACTTATCGTACTCCAAAACAACATCTTGAGAAAACTCACGGGAGCCAGATGGTTTATCCGCAACAACGCCATTCATAGAGATCTTAACATTGACCGCTTTGACCATCATTTCAACAAATTAAATAGAAACTTCTTTATTAAAGCCGCCACCTGCGATACCGCAAATTTTAATGATATTTTCGACTGCATAAATCTCAAAGAGGATGCAAAAATTCGACCCATTGCACACTTCTGATATCATACTAACATTTAACAACACAAACACTCACTGACGGCCAGGTCTCTACTAAACAGAGCCACATTTACTTACACATAATACAAGAAGAATAACTATTTACAAAACATGAGAAGAGTTAGCAAAATTCAAGATGAGAAACGACAAGATCATAAAAAATTTCATTAACACAAAAGTGTACCTCTGTTAAAGTAGAGATCCGACCGTCCTGGTTATTACCACTCGTGTCTGGTTGCTCTCTACACTAAAAATTACTCGGATTTATCTCGCCCTGATCAGAGCCACAAAGGGTTGCTCTTTTACAGGGTTTCGGCAATCAGTGTGTGTTAACTCAGTGCATGTTTTTAAGTGTGAGGATAACATTGGAAGGTCAAAAGTGAGCCAAAATTTTCCACTGCATCAACCGTTGATGCAGTGGAAAATTTCGGCGGCGTCACAAGTAAATGCCGTTTCAGAGAAGTTTTTGTTCTTGCTTGCTTTATTTGAATAAACTGGGAACCTGGGCCACGAAGCGGCCTCTATCCCATTTATCATTAAATTACATACAGCAAGGTAAAATACAGTGATTTGGCAAACAATGTGGTAGCCATAAAAAATCAAGCCGTTTGCTTATGAAATAATAAAACAATGAAAAAATTTAATATGACAAATTGACGTTTTTACATAAAATTAGAAATATTGATTGTAGACTTAAAATAAAAATGAAATATGATTCGATATGTACACTAATTGACTGAAGTGAAGGACCTAATTGATGAACGTTTTTGTTCAGTTAGTGGAGAATCATCTAAGCCTATGAATTGTTTAGAAATAGTGGCGGATAAAAATCTGCTAAATTGAATTTATTAAATCACTAATGACAATTAATAAACTACCATTCGAAAATATTTATTCGGAGCAAGTTGGCATCTCTGTGTATATAAATAAAACTGTTTTTGTGTGCTCTATATTGCATTAATTTCTTCAAGCCATTTTAGTCATAATGATAATGTAAAAAAAACTAAAAATTTACTCGAATTATGTGTCTCTAATAATCTTGGCTTCGCCGGTCATCGGTGTCCCCCGTGGCACTGCGAACAAACTCAGTGGCGTTTACCGGTGACCCCCATGGCATTCAACGTGTTAACTATATAAAATTATACATCATGTGATATATATCTAGTCCAGAAATAAATTAGATGTCGCATTTTGTAACAAAATTAATATGTAGATGTAGAAAATTTCCTTTAGCACGTTCACACCGGGGTGACCCACCGGTGGGTCACGCTAGATTGTCTCATCGGGCGGCGCACCGGAGTAAAAACTGGTAACAAATAAATTTCATTTTTTAGTTTTTTTCCTGGAATAATAAAAATCCATAACTACCAATTGCTTTTAACGGATGCAATTTTTATATTGAATTGCTTCTTCACAGTGACTTGTTATTGTCGAGAATAGATTAACTACTCCCGATTATTATCTAATATTGAAATAGTTCTTCTACCAGTATTTTCTGTTTACCGTCCCGCTTTCAGGCGCAACATCTGGCGTGAACGTGTTAAATTTATGTAATGTTATGTTCCGTGGACATAAATTTAATTTTTCTTAAAGGCACCTTTTTCATTAGTAAAACTATAAAATTGGAATCTGCCAGGTAAACTGTTAAGAAAGACACAAATATTTCTTTATATTCTTGTACACATTAATGTATTTTAGTAATTGTTTCGTATTTTCGGGAGAAACGTTTTATTTTTATTTTAAATCCGAAGTTTTATATTAGAAAATGCTAAAATTTTGCTACCACTACGAAAATTTATCTCGAAAAATCTGGCACCGTAAAAGGTGCCAGATTTATGAGGCTCTATAATTTCAAAAAATTTCTAGAAACGATAAACTTTCCTTTATATTTAAAAATATAATAATTTAAACATTAAAATTCTAAGGGTAACATTTTTCCCTCTATGAATGCTTGAACTTTCATGACACATTTATGAAAATTCATAATTATGTTTTTTTTTCTTCAGGGGAATAAATTTAAGAGTTTTCTCCTCCGTATGGATAACTCCAAGCGAGGAGGCTTTAGGAAGAGCTTGCTGCTGCTTCTTTTTTCTTATTTAACAAGTGAGCAAAGCCGATTCGTGGAAGCAGTTTCAGATGACGAATATCCAGTGCTAACTAAGAGTCAGGTAAGGATTGAATTTTTTTTTTATTCCATTGAAAAAGCTAAATCACATTCTTTTAAATATGTTAATAGCTGCAACAGAATAAAAAAATCCTCAAATAATTTTTATAAACATTAAAATATGATTTTAAAACGTATTTCGAATGTAATCTAAAATACCGTTATACCGTGGTATGTAAAAAATCAATTATTTAATCAGTACAATAGATAGATGATAGATCATGCATTGAGCATCCCAGGTAATTTTATTCTGTAACATCCTTGGTTAGCTTTCACTGATTCATTGGATCTGACCATCACCTCCTACATCAGAAAGCCTCCATGCGGTGTTTTATTAGTAGTCTGAGCAGCCTATTTAAAAAGTTAATTAGTTGTGCACATGAACCCAAATTTTATTTTTAAAAAGTAATTGAGAGAAATTTATCATATATATTTGAGAATTGAATCTGTAGTGGTTGACAAGTAAATAAGACATACCAATAATATTCATAAATTAAACAAATTTTTAGACATATATTAGCTATCATTTTCTTACTTTCACTAGATTTTTTATTTAATGGCTCTTTCATAACCTGGCTTACCTTTATAGTGGTCTGATCAGACTACCTATAAGAAACCGAGTGGAGGCTTTCAGTTATAGGAGGCGTTGATCTGACTTGGCTAGGTATATAGGCGTGTATATGGACGACACAAACCTTAACATTGGTGCCAACTTACGCCGGACAGAGGATAAAAATTTTCGAATGATAGTCAGGCCTGAAAGCGAAGACGGAAAAGAGAAAGTACTGGTAGGAGAACTATTTCAATATTAGATAATATTCGGGAGGAGATAATCTATTCTCAACAATAAACAATTCACTGTAATTATTCATTTCTCGGCGAAGAAGCAATTCAGTATGTAAATTGTATCCGTTAAAAACAATTGGTAGTTATGGATTTTTATTATTACCGAGAAAAAGCTAAAAAAATGCAATTTATATATCACCAGTTTTTACTCTTTTCCGTCTTGATATATATGGACTTTCAGCCCTGTTGATAGTATGGTAACATATGATTCTTAGCTCAGTAAATTCGATTTACAGGATATTTACTTAGCACCACTTCTAAATAATTTAAAGGTTCTTCTAAATAATTCTCTTAACACTCGAAGTTAAAAAAATTTTGAAATGTGAAAAAAATGGTCGCAACCACTAACATTTTGAAAGATTTTTTACGAACTTACCTTATAATACCTAAGGATCACTGAATGAAGTGGTAACTAATCATTAAGGTGAAAAAAATTTCATATTTGGAGTGGTGACTGACAGTCACCTCTCGAGTGCAAAGGGTGAATAATGCCTTAAATATTATTTCAACCTATAAATAGTAGGCAAGATTAATTGAAAATCTGCAAATTTTAGTTTGCAGTTCACTACCGCTTCTTTTTTTTTAAATATTCTGAGTAATCCTTACGAATTGGCATCACTGCAATATAAAATGTAAAAAAAACATGAATTAAACAATGGCAATGCACGTGCATACTCTCCAACTGCTACGGAATTTCCGTAGTTTCAGAAATCTTCTTTTCAGACGGTAGCAAAATTAATGTCTTAATATTTAAAAAAAATTAATTTTAGCGTAACTTGTCCACTATTACTTATAAAAATGCAGGCCATATGGCTAGATTCTTAAGTTCTGATAAAAGTTTTGTGAGAGATCCATTTGCTTTAAAAATTTCTACTTTGGTTCGCTACCACTAGAAAGAATTATTTTCAAAATCCTCATAAGTTGGAGGGTATGCATGTGCATTGCCGGTAAGCACAATTCATGGGTGAAAGCCTTTATATAGCAAGACGGAAAAGAGAAAAACCTGGTACCTAAAACATTTCATTCCAGCATTTTTTTCGAAAAAAATGAAACATCTGTAACTATCAAGATTTCTTTTATAATTCTGGCATATATATAAAACTGCAACTTTTCCAAGATAAAGTAGATATTGTTGAAAAATTTAAAGAAAGAATAAGTTAACTCCTCCCCAAAACTAGCTATAACTGAAATGGTTTTACTACCAGCCTTTCCTCTTTTCCGTCTCGCTTTCACCCCTGGCACAATCCCCAGTGGTTTTACGCAGCTTCTGCTAGGTTGATATCAGGGCTAAAGAGAATAGAAGGGCTGGTTCACTCCTTTGAAGTATCTCTCACCGCGCCGATCCTCCGACGTCACTCTAGTGACGTCACTTTGGCGCAAAGCTCGCACTTTTACTTCAAGAACGGAGCGTTTGGCCTTACTAGCTCTAACTAATATTGGATCATTTCTTTTTGCGAGATATTCTAAGACATTTGTTATTTTCTATAATGACTTTCCTCAGTTTTTGCAGTGAATTTACAAGAATTTAAAACTATTATCGAAATGCCAGTTTGCGCGATTGCAACTTGCAAAAATTCTG